ATTTGAAATACTGTATTCAGTTTTAGGCTCCTAGAATGGAAATGTTGTCGTACAAGGACAGGTTAAGATCTCTTGAATTGTTTTCTCTTGAAAAAACAAGAGTTAGAAGGTATCTGATTGAGGTGTTTAAAACTGATAAAGGGATTGATAGTGTTAATGCCACATATTTTTTCATACTTTATAGTGAGAATGGTAAGACTAGGGGACACAAATATAAAATTTGAAAGGTTAGGAGTCATCTTCAGCTAAGACAGCTTTATTTTTGTTCTAACAGGCTGGTTGGTCTTTGGAATGGATTGCCTTCAGATGTGGTGGATAAGAGTAAACTTGGTGTAGTTTAAGTGAAAGTTTGATAAATATTTCAATGATAAGGGCTGGCTTTGATTTTTTTTAAGGTTAATTTTAGTGGATGGAATGGCCTAGATGAACCGACAGGTCCCTTGTTGTCCTTAAATTTTATGTTATCATTTTATGATTTTCTCAGTAGAGCAAATTAAAATTAATAAAATTGTGCTCTAAAACTTCTGTTTCAACATATTTTATGTCTAACTGAAAGTTTCACATAGTATTTGGATCACCGTGATTTGTCCTTTACATCGCAACATCAGGTCAGGCAACAAATGGCCTCCAATGTGCCTAGAAACCGTATTTCAATACATTTTCAATATTTCAAACCTACTCCACACCAATAGAAAAAATCAAGACTCATCTGGTATATATCAAGGCACATTCAGTTTAACACTTTATGAACTTTCCACTTTGACAATGTTGACAAAATCCTTTTATTTTTAGACAAAAAATTAAAAACTCTTAGTCTATTTTAAAGTATTCTAATATAACTTTTATCTCATTCAAGACTAGTTTTATAGCATTCTAACATTCCTTCATCTTGTGTTATACTAGTTTTAGGATTGACAAACATAAAAGAAACAAAACAAAAAGCCATCTTTATGTTCACAAACTTCTGAATGTGTTTTATTCAATATAACGTTGAATATATGATTATTAAAGTATTATGCATAAATCAAGAATGAAAGCAGATAATTCCAGATTGTAGTTAAAATGATTAAAAAAACGACAATTTAATGAAGTATCTATATTTCTAGCAGAGCTATCAAGGTTATCTGCCAATGTTTCTAATCTTGAACTACTGACCAGATAAAAGGCAGTCAATCAGCAGCACTCTGCCACCCAAACTAAGGATTGAATGTAATAATATTACCATAATTTATTTTTGTATGAACAGTAGTATCTTTCAATTCAGTTGTACTTAAAGAGATCGAAGCTAATAAAAATAATGCTACTTGAAATAGCATTCTTTAGACCCACGAGAAACAACCACAAACCTTTTATGTTTTATTAGTCTGATAAACATGGTGGTCTACGAGTGATAGAACTGCTCAATATAGGAATGGAGATAGCAGCAATTCCCAAGATAAAATAAGTGACCGAATACAGTCCCAATTAGACAAAAAAACAGTTATATTTAAAAACACATGGGAAAAAAAAATCAAGAAAATAATTTTAATGAAGACTATATCTAATATTCAATAGTAAGAACCTAAACAAAACACCATCAAATCAGCAGTATTGTTATAAGAACTGATGGCTGGAAATCATTCAAGGTTTAGCTTCCTCATTTTTATAACTTTCATACAGACGTAGAGTTGGAATTCTTCTTCTTCCAATACATAAATATCATGCAGACTACATATAGAATTATTAGGCCAAATTTTACTTTTTAGCAAAAGCTTATAATGAAATGGAATATCGTTTGAATGAACCAAAACTGTTAGTTTTTTTGTATTGAAGGATTTGTATGTGCATGTGTGTCAGCATTTTACTTTAGCCAAATGTGACAGTATTTTCCAATTATAAGTGTACCTTTTTGACTACCTAGAGAAGTTGGACAAATACCACAATTATCCATGAAACATGATTTATCCATAAAGAGAAAGAGAGAAAAACTTATAATATTACAAAAATTCCAACATCATTCAAGACAGGCTCAAGCTACCAGATACAAAGACTAGATTAATTCGATTGTTGATAAGATAGTTCAAAAGCATTCAATCACAAAAACAACAAATTCTGTAATATACACATCATAATATTGTGGTAGGGCAAGAAATACTTAAAATATTGAATATACAGGAAGCAAGGTAGATCTTGAATAATAAGAGTCCTACTAATTTAAAACTTGCAATAAATAGTCTAATAATGACTACATAATTTTTGCCAAAACTGTAAGTGAGCTTCTCATAAATGTAACTAAATGTCACAGTTGGAAGGACTACCGAATTCACCCTTTCATATTTAGGAAAAATATAGCTTTACTTTCACATAATTGTTAAGTTTTCTATATTACAGTTATCTGGTGCCTTATAAATCAGATGTAGAAAGTAAACTTTTATCAGTCCTGAAGCACAGACAAAAGCTACATAACCACAATGAAAGATCAGTAGTGCTTACACTTGCTTCTGTGTAATGTAATATTGGAGGGAGGTTTTGCTCATTTCAAGTGGTGATATAAGGAAATGTATAATGGGAATGATCACCTTGGATTGTGGGATACTGCATTATGACTTTTGTCTGCATTTAAAGTATGGTAAACACATTCTTCTTATTTTATCTTTCTTTTGCAGATGCAATAAATTCTCTCAGCAGCCAGAATTTATACAATGAATATAAAATCCAGCCAATAATGGTAAAGCCCATGTTATATTAATATAATTTTGTTTTATTTGTACATAGAGCATGTTTGTTTTCCCATTGCTGTTTGTGTTCATTTTATACTCGTCATAACAATTCCTGAACCTGCTGTAGTAGATAGACATTAGTGTACCTGAATATCATAAATATACTAACCTCTCATATCCTTTTCAATAATGGTATTTTCTGGGCACAGCTGTACAAGTCGTTTCAGCAAGTACTTGTATCTGTATAGTGAAGAAAACAAGATAACTTATAACTGACTTAGCAAACTCTGGCTCAGAAAATTAAAAGGAAGAACTTGTGTGATCTTATAATTAAAACAAGCTGCAGGAACATTTGAAGTTTGACAAGATTAATGCTAAAACATCAATGTTTTTTATTACTTTTCCACTTTGACCTTATTTTACTAAAATGATTAATTTTCAACACACAAAAAAAAAGATATCTTATCTAAAATATCTATAGTTAATAGGTCTTTTTCTATTAAAACATTACAGGTATAATACATGCTGGTAATAAGTAAAGATTAATTCTATTTTTTTAGATAAGGAAGCTTCTACGTAATATAAAAATTTTCCTTCTTTTCTTTAGAGTTAACATCAAAAACATTTAAACAGCAGACTACACATAAATATCAGCTTAAAATCAAATATGCCCAAAAACATCTACTAATATTTAAATTATGTTAAAAGAATGTATAGTTGTGGAACACTTCAGTTTCCTTCTATTCATTTTGACTATCTTACTTTAAACTTAACAGCTAAAAACTGTCTATACGAGCAAGCAAACAAACAAACTAAAATAATTTCATGCCACCTATATTCATATTTGTTGGTAATGCCCAAACTGCCTTGGTGGTTACAGTGCCCAAACACCAAGCTGAAGTCTCATGTTCAAATATTAGTACAGTTGGGATTTTATATAATTCTATTGTATTGATAAGTGATTATGTTTAGAATAAACTCTTTCAATATTTGGAAAAACATGAATACCATGATATTTTTTTAAATAAATAGTTGTTAACACTGAATTTCAAAGAGTGGGTGTCAAAGTGACTCAGTGGTTGATGTTTGATTCATGTGACAGTCTCATATTCAAATCCTAGTTAAGTTGGGATTTTATGTTGGTTTTTTCAAATAAATAATCTTATTTACAGCAAGCTCTTTCAATGCCATTATAGATTAAATCAGGGATTTTGAGATCTTGGTTAAAATTTGAATTTAAAGATGGAATGTTTACAACATCAAGTCATCTCAGCTTTTCATTTCAGTTGAATATTTCAAAAATCATCTACGAAATAAATTCTAAACTAAAATTCTGAATAAAACTAAAAATAGTTCAGAAACATAGCAATAAAGAGAAAGAAAAAAGTAGATCAACAGCACAACAAAATGAAGAAAACATAGCAAAAAATGAGGATAACCAAAGCAGAGGGAGAACGACTGATATGGTTAAATGACAAACTGCTGCTGAACAACTTGTAATTGGTTCCTGTGTGTTGAACAGGGAAGATATAAACTAGTTATAAATATTAGGCTGACATGTGTAGGTTTGTGTCAATATATTATATTGACTGTTTATACATGTACATGCAAAAAAAAAACCATGGTTCTAAAGCCAATTGCTATAATTTTAACAATACAAAAAACAACAATATTTGGTAGGGTTATACTGAGCTTTATGCAAATCTAGTATTCAAATTTTGTTTGACATACATTAGCAATAAATTAATAAAGCCCATTTGATCTTGACTATTCATCTTTAAAGCCATTTTGAAATTTCATGCAGAATTAGGAAAACAAAACAAGATTTGTGACCTTGACTTTCACGAACAATTAGACCTTCCAATACTTACTGCAATCTGACAACAAGCAGTTTCAAAAATATTTCATTTGAAAGGTTATCTAAATGCATTCTTACTGAAAGTGGTAGAAAACTGAGGCTTATTGAAAAATGTCTAAAATCACAAAGAGGAAACAATAAATAAACAAATTAGGAGTTGGTGGGGTGATATTCACTTTAGCTACATCACCAAAATGAAAATATTTTTAAAAAGTTTGAAGTATCCTTGAAAAGTAAATATTAAGTATCACTTATTAAACAGTGTAAAATACTTCAGTATACATTTGCCAGTGTGAGCTCTGTTATAAATATATATAACAATAACAGAAGTTCGAAATTTAAGTTTAGCTGTTCATTGAGAGCTGAATCTTAAGATTCCACAACACAAACAGAGCATTAATGATTTGAACATATCTATTACCATGTAATGGTCAGAACAAACCTAACACCATGTAGTCACCTGAATATGTCTATCACCTGAACATACCTATCAATATTCAGTGATGAATGTCACAACACAAACAGAGCATTAATGATCTGAACATAACTATTACCATGTAATGGTCAGAACAAACCTATCAATGTTCAGTGACAAATTCTGAAGATCTTTTAGGGATGCACAATCAGCTCCATTTGTTGTTTGAAATTCTGCTTCTTGCTGAAAAATAAGTCATTAGTTATACAACTTTTCCACTCTTGAAAACAGCTACTTTTAACTCCAATCAGAAAATGCCAAGTTACTCTTATTGACATTTATTTAAGTTACTATATTTTAAACTAGGAATCAGAGAGTATTTTGAATATTCTCAATATTGGAACTGCAAATAAGCATAACAAGTGAATGTTACTGGACCTTTCTGATTTCCTATACAGAACAAGAATAATCTCATTTTGTTTTATTTTTCCAGATATAGGTGTAAGAGTTTAGAAATTTCTTCAGTAAGAAAATTAACAAAACAATGCAGAAAAATGTCATGCCTGCATTCATATCAAGTTCTATTTGCAAACATTTTAAAATAAATGTAAGAATAAACCCCTCCCCAAAACCAACATTGTTATGTGGATAATATAAAATGATTGAAAATATATATATTTATTAGGTAGAGTTTGGATGCTTCATAAATAACACTTGTTATAAGAACAATTAGAATGTTATATGTAAACAGTTCTGGTTGTTTTCCTTATAGTTCACATGATATGGAACGTTACAAAATACGCTGACTGGGTATTACAGAGAATAGTTGCTGATGTGACCTTTTATAACTGTAATATGAAAATATATTACCATCATTACAAATTACATAAACACAGACACATTTAGGTTTTGTGAGCTTCCAAGTCTTCCCTCTCAAAGTCTCTGCCTGGAGGTGCATCCATCTACATGGAGGTTGTTTTTTTTCCCACTAAAGGCCTATGGTATTAAACAGTATTAATGTAGCCTTCTATGGACAAAATGTTCACTTATCTCTTTTTATTTTGTGGCAAGTAGTTGTATATGCATTTAGGTTGATATCAATTTAGGGTTCACTGATGTGACAGTAACACTTTCAGTTCTTACTTGCCTACATTGAATTAATTTTTACATAATCACCAATAGTCATTTCATAATATTGGTTCAACCTTCCACACTGTTTTAAGGTTAATGGCAGCTTTTATTTTCAGTATCTTTAGCCACTTGTAACTCAAAAACTATTGCTTCATAATGCAAAATGGACAACCAAAAGACTTTTGAGTCTTCTTTCTTCAGTTGTTCCGAGATACTTTTACACTAACATTTGCAATAAAACCACGTATGTTATCTTCACAAACTATCTTTCTATACCATTCTGGATGACTACTGTTTATGAGTGTGTATGTATATCCAGCGCCATTTTGGACTACTGTTTATAAGTGTGTGTGTATATACATGTGTGTGTATATATATATATATACACACACACACACACACACACAACAGTCTTCTTGGACTATTGCTTATGAGTGCATATGTATATAGTCACCTTGGACTAATGCTTTATGAGTGTGTATGTATATATAGTCACCTTGGACTAATGCTTATGAGTGTCTATGTATACATAGTTACTTTGGACTAATGCTTATGAGTGTATGTATATAAAGAGTCATCTTGGACTAATGCTTTATGAGTGTGTGTGTATATACAGTCATCTTGGACTAATGCTTTATGAGTGTGTATGTATATATACAGTCATCTTGGACTAATGCTTTATGAGTGTGTATGTATATATACAGTCATCTTGGACTAATGCTTTATGAGTGTGTATGTATATATACAGTCATCTTGGACTAATGCTTTATGAGTGTGTGTGTATATACAGTCATCTTGGACTAATGCTTTATGAGTGTGTGTGTATATACAGTCATCTTGGACTAATGCTTTATGAGTGTGTATGTATATATACAGTCATCTTGGACTAATGCTTTATGAGTGTGTATGTATATATACAGTCATCTTGGACTAATGCTTTATGAGTGTGTATGTATATATACAGTCATCTTGGACTAATGCTTTATGAGTGTGTATGTATATATAGTCATCTTGGACTACTGTTTATGGATGTGTAGACACATTTAGTTATCTTCAACTACTGCACATAAGTGTGTAGACATATCCAGAACCATCTTTAGATTACTGCCTGCATGTGTGTATCCATCTTGTACTACTGTTTATGAGTGTGTAGACACATCCAGACTTGTGTAACCAGAATTTTAATGCTGGTGCACTTTTGAAACATCATACAACATGTTGTGTTTTTCTCACTTTACCTTACTGTAGTTTGGAAGCAACAAAAATCCATAATCTTCAATGATATATTGTAACATGGTTATTGTATTGTACTGGTCATTGATAAGGTACCCTATCAGGTTGTGATATTTTTGGAGTGCATAAATCATATTAATGGTTTACATCTATCATAATCTCAATGTTTCCCATTTCCTTCCCCCAGCCTTTGGCTATTTTTTGTGGTTTGGTCATAGCATATCATTAATGGACAAGAATATGAGAGTCCTTACCTTCATAAATATAGTGGCTTGTTGCCAACACTTAGCCCACTGAATATAGACTTGGAATTCTGGAGCATATTTCAGGAAGACAGCTCCAATATCTGCTAACTGAGAACCACATTTCTGCAGCTGGTTTAAGAGATTCTTGTGAAAATTACACAGTTGCTTGAGGGTCAAATAAACTTCCTCTAAATTCCCTGCTTCCGACTTCAAGACCTGCTTTTAAAACAATCAGCTATATAATGTTTCAGCATCAATTATTTCAGACTCCATAAATAGCTGCAAACTTAATCATCTTGTTTCATTTGTTTCCCTCCAACATCCACACTAATACAACATCACATTATTTCTCAGATTTAAAAGACTTGAATTGGAAACCAGAACTAAAAAAGTTAATCAAAATGAACTCTAACAACAATAATGCTTCCTCTCCAACAACACTAGTTTAGTGGTTAATTTTCAAGGTGAAAATAATACCTCATCCACAGGGGACCTGAGCTAAACTAAGTAACAAAACTGTTAATAAAAAAAATAAATTTGCTTTTTGGTTTTTGTTAAGCATAAGCTACACAAAGGGATGTCTGTCCTTTCCCCACCTATGGTAACAAACTAATTTTTAGTGTTATAAGGCCTCATATTTATTACCAAAACATCCCTCCAGAGTGATTAATAAAGTCGCCACTGTTACAAGTTTGAAAGCTTCAGCAAAATACACCATCATCATGGTGCCATTCTGAATTAACTCTATTTTTCCATGAAAATACTCTAGGATAATTGACAATACTAAAGTTTTGAACAAGACTGTATATATATATATATAATTTTTTCTATATGTAGGCTTCAATGAAGAAAGTAAAATCTTCAGATCATTACCAAGTAAAAATCCAGAGTTAAACAGTATTTATAAATGCATCAACTAAACAACTTAGATTAATATACAGGCAAATTACATTTTTAATAAAGTCTTAGGTTAGCATTTACATTGATATGATGGCTCAAGTACAAAAGAATGGCTACATAAGACAGTCAGAATTTTATAAATTACATGAAAAACAATACTGTAATACAGACATGCAACTGCTAGTCTGAACAATCATACACATCTGTATGATATCTCAAAATGAATTGTCTATAGACCCAAGAACTGGTCTCCATTACTACTAATAGCAACTCATTTCATAAGCTAATCAACAGCTGTATTAACTGCACCTAGCCAATCTTCTTGAATTTTGGACCCCTTGTCCTATTATCTTCAGGACCCATTATAAAGAAATCATACTTTTATCCTAACACCCTCCCAAAAAATCTTGCATACTTAAATAAGATCCTCTCTAACCCTTCTTTTGTCAAAAGAAAATAAGTTAAGAGATTTTTACCAATCCCCATAAAAAAAACCTTCTGTTCTCAGAATGTTAGTAGCCCTCCTCTGAGCACTCTTCAAAGTCAATATTTTTTGTCAGAGAATACTGTGTCTAACTTACAAATTGACCCAGGTCATTCTGTAATAATTAAGCATACCCAATACAGCCATAAATACCCAAGAGTTTAATGTCATCAACAAACATTAATAATTCACTATTTATGACTATACAAACATAATTAATGTAAGTAAGAAAAGTAAAACCCCAATCACTGACTTTTAAGGTAGACCATTAGTAACAAAGGTTTAGTTTCATTGGATTACATTTTTAATGACTTTTGCTCTGCCTCATCCAGTCATCCTACAGGTCAATTAACCAGTCTTTCCCCAACACTTATTGATGTGATTTTCTTACCTAATCTTTTTAGTAGAACTTTATTAAAAGTGTTTTAAAAATCTAAGTATGAAGTCCACGCGCTTTACATCGTCCAGATAATAAATAATATCCTCAAAAAAAGTCAACATACAAGTAAGATAAGATTTCCCTTAAATGAAATGTTGACTCTCCTAATATATCACATTTCATTAAAAGATTTTAAGCTTCTTCTATCAGAATCTCTAGAAGTTTCCCACTCCAGAAGTAACAAACTCCAATCCTCAGGCACCTGACCATTGTTTATCAACGTACCAAAAGCAAGAGAGAGAGAGAGGCTAAGGATCTGATCTTTGACCTCATTAAAAAACCTTTGGAAAGACATATGATTCAGGTTAAATCCAATACTGCAGAAACAAAAAATCATCTGATTCAAAGGAGAATTTGTAGAGCATACCAGCTACATAAAAAAAAAAGACTGGACATTCAAGGACTTCTCTTTGTCCGTGACACCCTTTAATTCAGGCAGAGGTCAGTTTTATCAAAAGTAAAGATGTAATGAAACTATGGAGTGAACAATGGGATACACAGGTGATATAAAAAGGTAGGAGGAATACTATGTCCTGCTCCTGCAGTGGGAGGTCCTTTGTGGAGCAGCCTAGAAACTTATTATGAAAAAAACGTACTTCAGAGGTAGTAGCCCCTCTTCATTCATATCAAGTGAGTTACACAACTGGTGAAATTAGTGGGCATTTATGGAGAACCAAAGACAAAAATGGCTCCCAAGGAGGGGATCAACAATGCAAATAAAAAGGAAAAATCAAAACATAAAATAAAAACCTGGATGATTCACTTCCTGATTGGAGATGAAACATCTGTTACAACAGTAGATCCTATTTCTGACATCTCTAATGCCACACAAGAATGTGCACGTGGAGATGTTATAGGTATCCACTAAAGCATTATCACCCACAAGATGGCACCCTCTGTCAATTTCTACAGTGTAACATCCTCTCATAAAGCTCCATCATAGAGGGTGGAATTTTGTCTAGGATAACAGTGGCAGAAATAGTTGCATCAGAAAGATCACAGCCAAGTGAACATTAAGGTTGTCAACCAGAAAATCTAAATTGTGATGGAAAGGCAGATCTTCTGTAATATCCCTTGAGGCTTATGCAATAAGTCATGTAGAAAGGAGGGGGGAGAGTGAGAATTATGGGTAGATGACGCATTCTTTGCAATGCATAAAGGACATTAAGAAGCTTTTAGTCACACATTTTGTTGACAGCACGAGTTAAACCTCAACAAGGAAGGGCACTCAGTATTTGAATCTGAATTTACAAAAAAATTAATAATACTTCTGACACTACCACAACTTCCACTACAAATAAAAGGAAATTTTAACTTTCAATATAAATAAATTTTCGCTCTTATTCTTCTACTATTTAACTGACACTTGTGATAGCTTTTATTTCTATCTATTAGTAAAAGTATTTTTAGTATTGATAAACAGTGAAGAGAAAGTGGAAACAATACACTTGTTTTGCACAATCAATTATATAATATTTAATGTAAAAAAAAGACTATGATAAATATATAAGCATTTTACCTAAGATTACAACATCAGTAAAGATACTAAAAATGCTATATTTGAGTTAAAAGGGGAAACACACAAGTTTTGTAAAGTGGGCTTTGTTTGTTATTTTAATTGAATTTTATGGAAAGTTATTTAAGGGCTATTTGCACCAGCTGTCTTTAATTTAGAAGTGATAGACTAGAGGAAAGGCAGCTAGTCAATACCACTCACTGTAAGCTCTTGAGCTACTGTTTATCAACAAAAAATGGGATTGGCCATCATATTATAATGCTTCCATAGTTGAAAGGGCAAGCATGTTTGGTGCTGGGATTTGAACTCGTTGGTCCACAGATTGGAAGTTGAGTGTCCTAATCACCAGGCTTGCAAGGTGTGCTGTAAACTGTTTACACCTGTGATGAATAGACTTGAATGGACTGCAACTGTCTGTTGTAAAAAACACGAGTGTTGAGGACTATGTTTCGAGAGTCTTCCATCTTCAAGTCCACACTATTTACACTTGTATTTCTAGTAATTTTAAGAACTACTGAGTATTGTTTAAAGACTGCAATCATCTTTCATTAATAAATGGATTGTGGAAATATTTTTAATTTTCTTGTGTCTATCTGTTATTCTATGGTTATATAAAAAAGAATAAAAATAGGTGAGTGAACCAATGCTTAATTCTTTGTAAATTTAAAAAGGTAGTGAAAAGGATTTAACTTTAGCATTGAATTACATTAAATCCTCATTCTCAATGCCACAACAGCCTCTCATACTCAAAAAGCCAGAAACTTCGATTCTGTCATGAAATATAGTATTTCATTATTTTTATTTTATTTCAATTTTTACCACCTAATACTAGTTTGAGAACCTATTGAAATACAGAATTAATATATGATACAACTACACATTAAGTTTTATACTATGAATTAATAAATGCTTTTTCTTAGTCTGTTGCTGAAATAAAAGCCTGAAAATAAGCAATTAATATTATCTCTATATCACCTTGTATTACACAGTAGCATTATTTGTCACAGCTTTGCCACAAGTTCTCTCTTTTTTTTTTTAATTTACAACAAACTTCTTGGGAAGACAATTTCATTTTTCATATGAATTTTATCTTTTTTTCTCACTTGAAAAATTACTTTTTTTGTAAAATATGACAACTTCTTTTAGAAATAACACTGAACACTGGAAGTAATTGGGTAGTTTAATATTTCTTGTTTGCTCTTTGAAACTTTTTAAGAGTCTATAAGTGTACTGAGTTGTATAATAAATCTGTACTTGCCTGCAGTTTATGCAACAAGATATCTAGTTTTTTGACAAGTTCATCCTCTGAACTAATACACTGTTGTAAAGCCATGTTCATTTCAGAAGTTTTGTCTGGTGGTTGTTTAGGTGATCCATTTCTTGGACTAAGGGCTGCTAAAACTGATAAATGAAAAACAGAAACATTCAACTGTGATGCATGTAATGTATAAGTACAAGCCATGTTAAGAAATCTATCAACAGCAGAAATGAGGGTCATTTTTGTTGTTTTATCAGTTGCCCGTATACACAAGTATGTATATATTACAATATCTACAAATTCTTAAAAGTTCAGTTTTAGTGGACATGTTCAAATTAATAACGAAATGAAAATACCGTTCAAATCACAAACTTCAACATTCAGTCTCAACAATTTAACCATTGTTGTCCAGAAATAGAAGAAAATAGCATATTAATTAACCCATGGTTTTCAAATAACATATGACTAAAACAAACTGTACTAATTATAACCTCCTGTATCTATGTACGTACACAATAAAATTAAGCATACAGCACATTATCAGGGATGGGATTCCTAAAATTACGTATTCTAAAACAGGTACGATTGGATACAAGTACAAACGTGGGTATAGAACTCCAATACTTATATCTAATGTCTATAATATGATCAAGCCACACTTTATATGTTAGCCAAGAGAGAAAAAAACCTTTGTTAACTAATCTATTTGTGCCATTAAATCCTCTCTAATCCTTCCACACATATACTACACATACAAAAGAAAAACTTTAGTGTCTCCTATGTTCAGATCTTCTTTACACTCTCTCCTGCACTTAAATAACTTCTCATATTAAGGAGACTAAAACTGAAACACAGTACTCTAAGAGGTATTCTACCAGATTACAATAGCCTTTGTTCCTAGTGTCAAATCTTTTATAAATAAACCCATTATGATGAACAAGAAAATTTGAGCTTTTTCCAACAATAGAATATACTTAGTAGGTTCTCTAAAGATTCAGAATAAAAACAGCATATACTGTATTACTTTAAGAAATGTACTATCATAGACTTTTAGGGTTTAAGTGAGAAATAATAAAGGTAACTACACTTATGGATACAGTTTGTAATTTTTCTCTGAATTCTAGCCAAAATATGAACATTTATTTCAACAGGACAAAAAAACTATTAAAAAAAGCTTTCTAATATTTTAAACAAATTTCTATAAAATATTTCATACACGTATATATCCCTAGTCAATTGTTAGACCTATTAATCCATATCTTGTCTTTTGGAATCAAAGTTTGTTATTCAAGTGTTGAATTTTAGGGAAATTATACAGGAAGGTTTATTTTCCTTACTAAGGAACAAAGACTTCATGAAAATTGTGAGGAAATGTTTTCTTAGGCAGAATTATACATATTTTTCTCCTGAAGATGGTATGTACAGTAGTACAGGGTAGGTGATGTTGTCATCAAGCAACATATAAATTCTTATTTTTTACTAATTAATCTGTTTGATTTTACCAAAGATTTGACAAAACAACCATTTACAATTTTGGCATGCAAAACTATACTGTAGTTTTTTAATTTATTTCTCTATTTGAATTTTAGAAAGTTTAAGACTACAAATAAACACTGAAGTAAAAGGTTCAGTCTTCTTAGTTTTAGAAAACATATAAAAAGACACAAAGTATTTAGACAAGAATAAGATAGCTTGCTTCAGACAACAGACTTATCATATAACTTTTATTTCCTAAAAATATGCTTTAAATTGGTACTCTAGTGCTTGATGTTAGTGGTGGCCAACTGGCAAAAAGCCAGTGGAATCTAGTGTTTAGCTAGAGATCAAAGGGAATTGTCATTTTTTTGACAGTTAATAATCCAGGTATTATTATGAATATTCAGACTATTTGCAAAAAAATGATTAAAGTTATATATACATACATATCTCCATTAGGTTGTTGCACAGCATCCTCATGTAGTTTTCAACAGAATTCCATAAATTTCAAATACTTATTAAAAACAGTGCATTTTCTGGTGTTTCCATTTCTTTACTCAATTTTTGTAATCTTGTATTTAGATATATAATTAGTATAACAAACATACATCTAAAAGTTGCTAGTATATTAAAAAATATTAAACTGAAAATGCTATGCTTCCAGAAATTCATAACAACTGAATAATTATATCTCCTAATAGCATGCAATTCTTAGGTATTTTTTTTTTTACTAGTGTTGTTGGCACTTTTGCAAGTAACTTTTAATGTAACTGGTACAAAATTGTCAGTGGCCAAAAAATAATGTCAAGCTCTGTATTTTCAGGAAATTCATCAATAAGCAGAATTTACACATAATAGCTAACAGCATTGTAAACTCTCATGCAATAAAGAAAACATTTCAGCCATATTATTTGAAAAAAAAATTGTTGTCTTTGGTATTCAAATTTTTTTATGCTTTTATAAAGTCTACTGACTTTTAGTTATTTTGTTGAATGAAAGTTTTCTATAAACTTCAAATTAAAATTTATCCTTTTTACAAAACAATTAAGCAATTAATACTATTTTTCACAATTTTTATTATATTAGGAAATATGGGGCTTTAAAAAACCATTTTAATGTAGTAGTCATTAAAGTTACAACAGATAGATTTTTTTTAGTCTTTAGAAAGTTAAACAAAGTATGTTAATTAGAGTGCAGTCTGTGGAATCAGTCTGCTACATTATTTCTCAAATGGAAGTATATTAAGGGAGTCACAATTAATACAAGCTATTTTAATATAGAATTTAAGGATAACCAGGGACCTGTTAGTCCAAGTCATCCCGCTTGCTAAGATTTAAAAAACAAAGCTCAAAGCCATCAAACATTTATCAAACCTTCCCTAAAATCCATTTCACCTTAGATGAAGACAACTCCTACTCTGCCAGTTTTTATACTTGTGTTCCCTTGACTTAGCAATCTCATCTTTTAAGTATAAAAAAAGATCATGCATCAACATTATATATTCCCTTAAAACCTTAAACATCTTTCAGATACCCTCGAACTCTTTAACCCATCCTTGTATTAACGCCTTTCTATCTCAGGAATCATCCTATTAGTCCTGCTCTGAACCCTATCCAACAATTCAATATCCTTCCTCACATAAGGAGTCCAAGTGTGAGCCCAATACTCCAAAATGTAGCCTCAACAGTGACCTGTATCAGTGGTTTTCATACTGTACCCAGGGATTTGTAAAGGGTCATCAGGGGTTCTCCACAAAGATAACAGGTAATGGCTTTTTTTTCTTCAATTATTGAGTTCTAACCCATCAGGGACCAAATATGTATTCATAAGTATATGGATTTCCCTATGTATATGTATGTCTGTATGATAAGATAGGAAGAAGACACAACTTCTAATGAGGATTTAAAGGTGGGATAAGGATTGAGGTTCCATAATGGAAGGAATGAAATAAGAGGGTTGCATGGCTTCATAAAGTTAAAAAAACACTGATCTATACGATAAAATTATAACCTCTTTAGACTTGTATTCAGTATTTTTATAGATACAACCTAAAATCCTATTTGCCCAAGTAACAGCACACTGCTTGGATGGCTTAAGAGACTGACCAACCACAACACCAAACACCCTTTTTTTCTATAACATTGTTAATGTTACTTCCATCAAAATTATACTTATAATTCAAGTTATGTTAATCAACATGCATTACCTTGCATTTATTATAATTAAAAACCATCTGCCATTTATTCACCCAACTCAACAAACAATCTACATCCTTCTATAAACCACACAAGACCTTAATATCACCACTAAATTTAAGTAACTTATTGACCATTCTTTCATCTATGCAACTGCTGTAAATCAAAAGGATCCAAGGTTCTAACACTGGGCTCTGAGGTACCACACTTGTGACATTAATCCAGTTTCACTGAACTCCCTATGCTTTCTTCTGTACAGCTACTTTTATAACCAAGAAGTCAATTTATCTTCCACACCTAGAGATATAATTTTAACACGACTTTTGTGGTACCTTGTTAGACATTTTCAGAAAATCAGATACACTAAATCCATTCCCTTACCAACATCTATATAAGTAGTAACCTGTTCAAACAAATGTCAAAAGATTAGTAAGGCAAGATTTTCCCATAGTGAAACTATGTTGACTATCTAACAAAATTGTAAACTTTGCAAAATATCTTTTATCAGATTTTCAAAAACTTTTCCCACCACTGATGGAGGACTAATAGGCCTGTAATTACTTGAAAACTTTATCATTTCCACAGAAATGAGTATCAGTTAACTTTCAATACTACTTAAGATCTTCCAAAAAAAAAGTAGCAAGTGGCTCACACATCCAATCCTTAACTTCATTCAAAAATTTTAAGGAAATATCTGATCCTGGAGCTATATTATTCTTTAAACTTCTCAATTGTTTTTTTTTAACAAGCTCAGAATTAATGTCATTATCTTGTTCAACCTTGTTTCTATCTAGCAACTGTTCAGGGCAAGGGATCTTCATTCGTAAAAACTGATTCACTGTGTATGGTACAGTTAATCTCTGGTAGTTGAATGTGCATATGCCGTATACGGTGTACAGCTTGCAAAAACCCTGCGCTTGTTTAGAGCAGCTGCAGTCAGTAGGTTAATCTTCACCTGCTAAAATCCTTTTCTTCAGTTAGCTATATAGAGGATTCCATCTATATTAAATATGTAATCCCAGTTACAATAACCCAAATACTATAATTAAATGTCATCTGTCAAATATTTGTCTAACTTACTGATGTCATTCTGTAATACATAAACAACTTCAAGATAGTTTATCATAAGTAAAGTTTACTAATTTATTTAATTTACCAAGTATGCATCTATCAACATAAAGCACTGATCCCCGAGACAGTTGACTAGTTTGACTGAACTCAATAATAATTTAATGTTTTCTCTCATCTAATGATCCTGCAGCACAATTTACTTGTCCGTCCCTAAACTTCTGATGATGTAATTTTCTTAGCTAATCTCTTCTTTGCACACTTTACCAGAAGCTTTTTGAAAATTTGAGTAAACCAAGTACCGTATTTT